CTCAAGATCCCAGGAGGAGATGCGGCGATCCCGGCCTCTGCGGCCGGCGCGGGGGTGGAGAGAGGAGGGCGCCGGGGAGGCGGCGGCAGGGGCCGCCCCGGAACTGGAGCGCTAATGGGGCGCTGGGAGTGGCCCCCAGCCCTCAAGGCCTCCAGTCAGTCCGTGGCCTCTACATCGCGCCCTTCCGCAAGCAGAGCCCCCCACCAGGGGTGGGCGCGGTGCGAGCTGTTAAAGGGCCAGTGCATTTAAAGGCGCAGTGCACGTGGGTCTCGGAGGCATGTGGAAGGGGCATTTTGTTCAGGCTTCCTGCCCGGACCTCAGTTCCTCCCAGTCCATTGGCCTGCAGCACCGGTCCCCGGACACTGCTTTGCAGAGGCAGGAGGAGAGTGTGTGTGGGGGTGTCTTCCCGCTAGTGAAAGGAGCAGGGCCCCAGGACCAGGCCTGGAGCCTGCTTTCGTTGCCAGTGGTGGTTGGCTGTTTCGTTGGGCGTTTACTGTTGTGGGGAGACACCCAGAGTCAAGCTTTTGAAACTGAAGGAACCTGGAACGGAATTTTATTGATGAGGATACTGAGCCCCCAGATCTAAAATGACTTTGCCCAAGGTCGCCCAGGTAGGATACAGCAGCACCAGGCTTAGAACCCCGCATGGTGGCTTTTACAGTAGTTCTGCTGTCCAGCCCTGGGATCAGACCTCAACCCTTTGCTAGTTAAATGATACTGGCTGTTGACTTCATGGGTGAGCACTGCTGATTGGTGAAGTAATCGCATCCTCATTTACACATCCAGAATCTGGGACCATTCTGTAAGGAGCAGTTGTGAACCTGTTTAATTCCATATCTGCAGTAAGGGCTGCCAAGGCTGTCCAGAGAGTAGCTGCCAAGGCTGTCCAGAGAGTAGCTGATCAGGACAGACCCCACCTTCCAGAAGGGATGCTTCTGATGTCTTCCTAGTCCATTCTGTAGATACCCGAGCCTCCAAGGCTGTCAGCCAAGACCTTGCATAGTAATTAAAGGCTTGGGTTAAGCTGCTTCAGGTGTGAGCCTCAGGTTCCCCCCTGTGTGTGACTGCGTGGGAGCCAGCAAACAGTGTCAGCAGCTGTGTTTTCTGGGTCCTGGGGTGAAGGGCCTGGGATCCCAGCTCTAGCTCAGAGCTGCCAGGTGGTCACTGTGTTCTGCTTTGGATTCCAGGGCAGGGGCTGGAGTGAGGGACTTGAGGGAATGTTGCTCCAGAGTGGGGTGGGTGGCCTTTCAGGTTTTGTAGGAGAGCTTGGTGCCCACGTGCCGAGTCTAGGATGTGCTGTGTTGCTGCCTATTTGAGGAATCAGGAAGGGCCTGGGTGAAGGCTGCTGCCACTCACTGTGCCTGGAGGCATGGTTCAGTACACAGTGTCAGGCCCATCACCCTCTCCCTCAGCCCCTCTGTGGCTGCTCACAACCCACACCACATGGTTTGCCAGATGAGCAGCTCTGATCTACCTTGGCCTTCTCTAAATCATTGATGTTCATAATGAAATAACATAACCTTGTGTTTTGGGTTGGTGTGTGCAATAAAGAGCCCTTTTGTGCAGTAGTCACCGCAGTTATCTTAAGAACTTCTGTAACACTGAAGTCATTATTATTATTGGTCTTAGGTAGGCAGTGTTAAGCAGCTTGTGTAGTTATGTGGCTTCAGAGCTTGTGAGCACCAGGACTTGAACGTAGCTGGATACATCCTCTTTCTTTTCTTTTTCATTTTCTTTTTTTTTTTTGCACAGGAGGCTGCTCACATTCATCCTGTCTGTGTCTGTACTGCTGCTTAGAAAGTTGCTGTGGGGTCTCGGTGTGGAACTTCATGACAAACCAAAATGAAACAAAAAGTTTCTTTCTCTTTGTTTTGAAGAACCCAAAGCAGTCTGTAGGTCTCATATTGTTTCTAACACAGATACCTTATCTCTGGCTATTTTTAGCTGTGGATTTGAGTTTGGGACACTGTGTAGTTGGGGACTGACAAGACAACAGATGTCTCTGCAAATGTTGCCACCTGTTCTGGCTGTAGCAGTGGGGAGGGGCGAGGAGGACAGAAAGGGCTGAGAGGCCCAGTCTCTGCCCACCCCACCCCCCATCTGGTGGGGTCTGATTTGGCTCCCAGCCCGGAGGTGATAGGACTGCCCTGTGTGTTAATGTCTGGGGGAGAAGGAGGGGGGGAAGGATCGGTTCAGATCAGAAGACCACATGTTAGCAGGGAAGATCATTTTTGGTAACCTCGTGATTGACTGGAAGAATAGATTGCGTATTCATTTTTTGTGAAAATTCTAGAGCAAAGGAAGATACATTTTTAAGGCTGCTCGTCTTTCTGTTGTCCCTTGGTCTGAGACTTCCTGACTTTTTAAAAATAATAAAAGTCTTATGCATTCATTCTGGAAAAGTCCAGAAATACTTTTTAAAAAGTCATCTCACCCTAAGCCTAGCGACAACCACTCTTCTTAAATTTTTTTTAAAGAGATTTTTGCTATAGGGCTTGTTGGAGAGACAGAGACAGTGAGAAATCACACCCCGGGGGGGATGGCCATGCCACAGTCCCTTCTCCTCCATTCTCCTCTTGTCCTCTTGGTATCTTGGACATACATGAACAAGTGCCTGGCATGAGTTTTAAGCCACAGGGTCTGGAACTTGAACCATGGTTGGCTACATGGGATCCAGCCACGTAACCCTTCCACCATCTGCTGGTCCCGTGCTAACCACTCTTGATGTGCCTTTCCATCTTGGCTCTGCTCTGCTCGTATAGCTGTTATCCATTTAGACAGTAGAGGGAGGAACCTCTGGGTGAAGGGTTTGCATCCTGTATTTGTCTGCTAAATGCTATGCTGGCAGAATGTTCTCTTCATTGAGTATTCCTGGAAAACAAGATCTGATGAGCTTGTAGGGTATGCAGGTATACCATTGTTTACCTTACCAGTCCCTCAAAGGTACCCTTTCCCAGACTCCCTTTGAATGGCCCAGAGAAGCCATGCCCTGCCTCCCCAGTGCCCACAAGTGGGCACTTCCCCCAAAAAGCGACCCCTTCTTCAGGCCTGCAGAGCACCAGCAGCAGAGGGAGGGGAGAGTAGGCTCTGGGGTTGGAGTAGTGAGATGGAGCCAGGAGAGACTGTTTACCAAGAGCTTTTAAGGTGGCCGAGAATCTAGTGTGTATTTCAGGGGCTTTTGCAGACGCGTTCCTGTCGTGGCATAGGCACCTGCCCTGTGATTGTGAGTGGGCTCCCAGGGAGCTCCTGTGGCATATGGTGTGGGCTGCTGGGTGACCGGAGCCCTGGCCACTGAGTAATTGACCCTCACTTGAGTGGGTAGGGAAGAGCACCTTGATGGGCATGCTGGAGACCTGAGTCGTAACTGTGGCCTTTGGTCATAGACCTTAACTGATTCCTGTCATCCCCCTCAGTTTCCTCTCCTGAAAGCAGGGTGCTGACTAGCACCAGGTCTGACATAGTCCCGTGGAGGTACGTGCTCTTTTGTTTGACAGGAAGTTCACATCGCCAGGTGCCCTGGGCTGGGGCTCCATGGAAACAAGATCTCTCCCGTAAGCAGGGCCTTATAGCCAGCTCCTGTGTCTGTTGGTTTAGCAGATCGGTAACTTCCTGAGAGGCCACCAGGCCTCTGCTGTTCCTTCTGTCTGTCCCCTCCTCTCATTCATCTTCACTGTGACTACTCTTACGAAGCCACCTGGCACCAGACACTTCACCCGTTTTTTCTAGTTTTTAGAATGCTCTTGCAGGCGTGCCTGTTCTGCTTTGTACAGAAGAAATGGGCCAATCAGACTGAATTGTGGGAGGCCCTGCAGCCGGGGACTGTGTGGTGCAACTCACACGGCACTGGTTTGACCGTAGTGTCCAGAGCCTCCGCTTTTGACTGCTGGCTTATTGCTTTTCGTAAAAAAAAAAATATTAATAATAATTTAAACAGCTTTTTTTTTTTTTAAAGTTTGTTCAGAAAAAGAGAGAGAGAGCACCTCACCAGGTTCCCATACCATGATCTCCCCCCAGCCTCAGGTAGCCGGGATCACCAGCACAAGGAGATGCCAGGCATGGACAGGGAGGCCCCGGGACGTGAACCTGGGACCTTCCCATGTGGGGCCAACACCGCAGAGCATTGCATTACTATCAAACCACTGCTTGCTCCCTAACTTTTTTCTGGATCTTACTTGAGGGTAGTCTGTTAGGGACTCCCTCTGCCACTTACCCCTAGATTGCTCCAATTCCCATGCTGCTTCAGAAAGTAAGAGAAAACTGCTTGGCCCTGGGCTCTTCTGGGTAGGAAAGACCCAGTGGGGGTCAGTGTAGTGCTGGGTCCAACCTTGAGGGGGCCCCATTGACAGTGCCTGGTAGATGGTCTGGGAGGGTGGGTGGTAACTTGGGGCCTGCCTTTGGGATTCAGGTCCTGCTCTGGCGGAGGTCACCTCCTGGTGTTGAGAACTGGCCAGCATGCTGTCCGTACTGTTCTTCCACAGTGTGGGAAGAGGTGGATGGACAGAGGGATGTTTGCTGGTTAGGTGCTCAGGGCTGAGCAGAGAGAGGTGGACAGGGAAGCCTGGGAATTTCTTAGGTTATCCATCACCTGACTTTGGCAAACTCTAGCTTAGTGTGAAGGAAGACCAGGGGCCCTCTCAGGAGTCCTGGAAGTGCTGTAGGGTAGCGATAGGACTACTTAGAAAGTGAAGTGGCTGATTTGAAACCGAGAGCCATCCTCTTTGAAAGCCAGAGAGTGAGTTAGGCTTGCTGGACGAAAGCAGCCAGGCAACTGGGATCCAGCTCTTTCTCTGCAGCCCTGGGTATGTATGTGAAGTGCAATAACTCCGGAGTGCTTGTAGGCAGTCTTTTTCCAGGAGGGCTTGGGTTTCTATGGCATTTAAAAGTCTATCTCCTACCTAGATCCATTGGCCTTCAGTGTTAAGATCAAAAGCTATGCATTTCTCTGAAATGGAAAGAAGGTTGCAGAATTGGGTCACCAGTTTCCATAAGAATTGCAGGAACTGCTGACACAGCATGGTCAGGGAAGTTCTCTGGGTCACACTTCTTTGGTTTGGCTAATTCAGCATTTGGATCCCATTTAGCTGATTAATGGGGCTGAGGGGTGGCTTCTTTGGATATTTGATTTTGCTTCTTAATCCCAGGCAGCTTTCAGCCACCGTACTTTGTTCTGGGAAGGATTTTCCAGCACACGCTCTGTATGACAGACATGCAACTTCGCTTCCATCAACCTTTCTGCCTCTTCCTGTTGTACCCTCAGAGAGAGGGGAGCAGGGGCCGGGAGAGGAGAGCTGCTTGCTGTGTAGTTGCCATCATCTTTGCTAAGCTTTGACAGTGGCAGGAGAGTCCCCGGCCCCGCCCCCACCTGCCCCCAGTCAGCCTCCAGCGGGAGTTCTTTGCGTCACTGGCTGTACTGTGGGCAAACATCTAGAAGGGTTGTTTGTCTGCACACACTGGGTGGTGATTTTTCCCTCCAAGGATTTCAGCACCATGAGACTTCAATGCCAACGTAGATGCCTTGCAAAGCAGGCTTTTAGGAACCCAAAAGGAAAGCAGGAGTCCATCCCAGCTGCTCTGTTTTCAGGAGCCAGGGAAATAGAGGACAGAACGGGCACATGGCTTCGCAGGACCCCATGTGATACCCCGCGTCCCATGAGGGGATTCAGGGTGGGGCAGACGACGCGGGAGAAAATCTGTCTCCATGTTGATGCTGGCCATCTCCCTTTCAAAGTTAAAGAGCCTTAAAAGAAAATGACATATACAGTGTATCTCTATGACAACAACTTTGCCAGTGCAGAATATAAAGAAAGCAAAAGTCACCCCCAAACTCACTCTTCAAAGACAATGTTTTAATGTTTTGTCGTATTTCTTGCAAGTCTTTCATATACACGCTTTTTATAAGAAAACTCAGGTGGTTTTGTATGTGAAGTTTCATGCTCTGCTAATTAAACAGACTGTATCTTTTCATGTTACTGTTCTCTGAACTAAGATTTTTAGTAGTCCTCTGATAGTCTCCATCAGATTGATATAGTATGGAGTCCAATGTTCCCAGTCATTTCCCCTTTATAAAAAACTACTGTAACACTTTTTAAAAATAGTTATTTTATTTAACTTTATTTATTTAAATTTGACCAGATTGGGGGGGGGGGGGAAAGGGAGAAGGCAAGCTGCCAGGCCTGGGACTCGAACCATAGTCAACCATATGGAAGTCCAGCACCCTTAACTACCACATCACCTGCCAGCACCAACACACACATTTTTATGTAAGCCTTCTATTTTTTTTTTAATTTTCTTTGGGCAGATTTCAAGAAGTAACATTGCGAAGTCAAAAGGCATGGATATTTTAAAAGCTTTTGATTTGGACTGCCTTCAGTAAGGGCTGTCCAGTACAAACCTGTGGATGTAGAGACCTAGTTTTCCTGCTCACTCCTATAGAGCAGGCGTTGTTTGGGGACTGTCCCAGCCTGAGAGCTGTCCTCCCCTACAGCTTTGCTGGTCTGGGCATCCTCTCATCGCCCTCTGTTGCTGTCTGACCAAGCACACGGTATCCAGGAGAAAGGGCTGCCCCTCCTCTCACTCCTTACGTTTAGCAGTCAGGTACTGCAGCGCTGAGCAGTGGGGTGCAAATGCAGGTGGGTGAGGGACACTTGCCTTCCTGCACAGCATCCAGCCTGGCATCTGTGAATACACAGCAGGGACAGCACCAGGCCAAGAATCACTCAGGGACCGACTCCAAATGCAGATCCCTGGACACCCACGTTTTTAGTAAGCAACAAGCATAACATTGAAAAGCACTGAAGCGGGCTTCTTAGGTCTCAGGATGACCTTAAATCAATGCCTTTTTCTTTTACGTGTATTTACTTCCATGAGCAGGAGTGACAGAAGCAGAGAGACAGCACCCTCTACAAGGTCTTGATGCTGTCATTCACCCTAGCTTCAGCCAGCCCCAGCTCATGGGCACACTCAGGGAGATCTCTGGACAGGGTATTTACTTCCATGAGCAGGAGTGACAGAAGCAGAGAGACAGCACCCTCTACAAGGCAAGGTCTTGATGCTTCCCCCTAGCTTCAGCCAGCCCCAGCTCATGGGCACACTCAGGGAGATCTCTGGACAGGAACCCAGAACCTTGCCATGTAGGTCAGCCTTGCAGAGTGTTGGGTTGCCGCCATGCCTCCATCTGGCCCTCCCAACAAAACAGGCAGAGTAGTACAGCTCCTAGGGCTGCTGTGCTCAGTGCCTAGCACGGGCTCAGCGGTGGCACTTCGTACCCACCCCTGTTTGAAATCAGTAATAGTGAGGGATCCAGTGTTCCTGGTTCCTAACTCGGTGCCCTTGGGTGCAAAGATCCCCTCACCCCAAGGCTAGGGGTTGTGATCAGATGGCGCCCATGGTTTGACAGCCTAGACTTGGTTTTCTTTGCTTGCTCCTAGCTACAGCTCCCTCTTTCCTGGCTTTCTTGGAGTCTTGGCCTTCATTATCATGGGCTCAGCTTCAGGGCTAGCTTTGGGGGAATTTTTCAGGGTGGGATAAGAGAAGGAGCCTGCCTAGGGAACAGTTTTCTGGTGAGGAGGCCATAAGTGTGAGTTACATTTTCTGGATTAGAGTCTGGGACCCGTAGGCAGGCGGTGAGGACCAGCGATGCCTGGTCACCGGGCACGTTCTCCTCTGTAGCGCAGTGGGGCATGGAGGGGCTCTTTGAGCTCACCTTCCTCGGCACATCTGTCATGGTCAGGGGAACTGCGAGGCGGAACTGCTTCCCAGGGGCTGTCTAGGTCAGTTGTGGGTGGCTGGGGAGAAATGGGGGACTAGATCCTCCTTGATGCTGGGTCCCTGTCTCTCTGTCCCCACTCGTGTTGGCTCTTTCTTCATCTTTGCTCCTTGTTCATCCATTTCGTCCTTGCTCTGCTCTCTGGAGTCTAGGGGAAGAGGCGTCTTCTGAGCACTGTGGCTGTGGTGGATATGAAAGGTTCGGCTTGCCCTCTGTCCTTGGGCTGCTGTCTATGATGTTGGAGGTACAGGGACTCCCTGGTGTGCCCCTCCAGGCCCTGCACAGACCATCACAGGCTCTACAGAGGCATGGGAAGAACGGGAGGGGGGAGAGAGTGGCTTAATCATTTCTATTTTTGGTACAGAATTATTCAGTTTAATTAATTAATTAACTTTTAATTTGACCAGAGAAAGAGAGAGAGAAAGTGAGAAAGCAAGCTACCAGGTCTGGGACTTGAACCATGGTCGACCATGTGGAGTCCAGTGCCTTAACCACCATACCGCCTGGTGACTTAATTATTAATTCACACCTAAAACAAAACAAAACTGACTTGAGAAAACAATACTAAAAGAGCTGTCTGCAGCTTTATATCCCAACTGAGGCGTCCCTCCTGATGGCGTATTATCATTTAGCCAACTCTTCTGCCTGGAATGCCCCTCTGAGTAAGAGTGAACTCACCATTGCTGGGGTGGGTCTTGAGGGAACTCACCATTGCTGGGGTGGGTCTGTGCAGGTGTTCACTTAGGATTTACGAACGAGGCTGAGCTCTGTAGAGGCGGACCTCGGAGCTTCTCTGGCTCTCCCTCCAACTCTTTCTCTCCTTCCTGCAGATGAAGGAACTAAAGCTGCGAACTTGCCAGGGTCTCGGAGCACCTTGGGCCTCATCTCCTAAAACGGGCTCCGTACTACAGATTCTGTTGCTTCCCAGGACTGGCCACCCAGGAGCAGACCCTCCTGTAACCCTGAGCTGAGCCTTGTCTGGAGACTCTGCGGGAGGAGGGCCCACACCCACCCAGAGAGGGCCTTGAGCTGGCATGTCCACCTTCTGTCCAGAGACCTGCACTGGCTTCCCTTTGTGAATTAAGCTCCTACTCCTGGGTCGGGCACCACCCTGCTCCCTGGGTTGGTCCAGCCCTCCAGGTCCCCACATTTCAGCCAGGTCAGGATAGGCACTCGGTGCTATCAGATAGGCTGTGTTGTGTCCCCATCTCGTTTAGAAATGGGACCTTCTTCTTTCTAGAATGACACACCTCCTTCCATCTCTACCTGGCAAAATATCCCTAACCTTTGAGACCTATTTCATGTCTTCCTTACTCCTCAAGTCCTGATGGTTCTAACCTGACAGCCGCTAGATTCTCCCCTTAACCAGGGGCGCCCGCCTTCTCTCCTCCCTCCGGGCACTTACCGCTGCAATTGCTCTTGTACTAGTCTCATCTGTCCGGAACAGGAAGAGACTGGGGAGCTTGTTTGTTTTGAAAATCCCTGTGAAGGCAAAGGGGGAGCCTTTCAATCTCGCAGGGCCTGAGTCAGGGAGGTGAACTGCTGTGCGCCCCTAACTGGGGGAGGGAGGTAAAGTCAACGTGGGAATAAGCCAGGCCACAGCCAGGGTCGCTGTCCTCAAACAGAGTGGCAGCCTCAGCCCCTGCGGGGCATCAAAACTGACTGGCTTGGTGAGAGGACCTGCCTGCTTTGTTTGAAATCGAGTATATTTCAGGGTGGCTCATTTGCAGGTGAACCTTCAGCAGAGGGCAGACCTGGCCTTCCATCTCTAGCAGCATGGAGCTCAGCTCCAGGAGTCTCTGAAAGGGTGTCTGGCCCGGCAGTTGTCCCTGTGTAGGACGTCGCAGGGACAATCAGATCCACCCGCAGTTATCCAAAACGCTCCTTACCCTGAAACCTGTGGGTGTGGCTTTGGTCCATGCTGAGTTCCACAGAGTGCTGAAGCCGTCAGGACACACAGACTTCCTCAAGGCCCAGTCCCACCCTCAGGGCACTTTCTCTTCCCAGGACTTGCTGGCCTCGCAGTGGTGTCACTGTCTCTATGGCTTTGACACTCCTTCTGGAGTGGCCCTCATCTCGCGCCCCTCCACCAGACCTCATCCTTAAGCCTCCTATAAGCCTTTCCATTTCAAAAAGATTTTTTCTTTATTCATGACAGAGTGCACATAGTGGTAGAGGGGGACCCTCCATAGGGTCTGGTTATGCCACAGCCCCTTCTTCCAGTCCTCCAGACCATCAGATCCAAGGCACCCTTGCATGTGCCCGGCTTTTTTCAGGCTGGAGGTTTGACCTTACCGTCGCCCTAGGGACCTGGCTTTCCTTGAGCAGCGCCTTACTGCCTACCAGAGCTGGCCCAGGCGTCCCATATTTAATCCATTAACATGCAGTGGGTTCCTGTGTCAGATTCACAGTATTGTCCCTGGAACTTCTCCGGTCTCCCCTGCCTTTGTCCACACCTGGCCATCACCCCAGACTCCGTCCTTTATTTTGTCCCCTGTGTCAGGTCTTGACTGTTGACCTCTCTGTACTCGGAGCCCTCACTTGCATCCATTCCTGCCACCTTAAAGAGTCGTCTTCCCCTTCCTTTGCAGTCAGTGGCCAGAGTGGCAGCTGTGCACACAGATCCATCTGGTCTGTCATGCTCGTCCTCGAGATAACCTATGCCTGCTTGACTGGTCACCTGAGACCCTTTGCACCCCTTTGGCCCTGCCCAGCCCCACCCGTCTGTGCAAAGCTTTACTTGAACAATCCTTGGCCTTGGCCCCTCCCTCACACCTAGAGAAACCTGTCCACCCCATGTCATCTTCTCTAGGAAACATTCCTGATCTTCAGGATTTTATTTTATTTATTTTTTAAAGAGAGACTTTTGGTATAGGGCACATGCGCTCACTGAAGAGACAGACAGAAAGCGAGAAATCACCACCCAGGGAGATGGCCACATCACAGTCCCTTCTCAATCCCTTCTCCTCCATTCTCCTCTCGGGATCTGTGGCATGCACACACATGCTCCTGGCATGAGTTTTAAGTCATCGGGCCTGGGACCTGATCTGTAGTCGACTACATGGAAGTTGGCCTTGGCCCCTCCCTCACACCTAGAGAAACCTGTCCACCCCATGTCATCTTCTCTAGGAAACATTCCTGATCTTCAGGATTTTATTTTATTTATTTTTTAAAGAGAGACTTTTGGTATAGGGCACATGCGCTCACTGAAGAGACAGACAGAAAGCGAGAAATCACCACCCAGGGAGATGGCCACATCACAGTCCCTTCTCAATCCCTTCTCCTCCATTCTCCTCTCGGGATCTGTGGCATGCACACACATGCTCCTGGCATGAGTTTTAAGTCATCGGGCCTGGGACCTGATCTGTAGTCGACTACATGGAAGTCCAGCAACTTAATCATTACACCATCTGCTGGGTCCCAGTCTTCAGGATTTTAGTCCCTTCTTGGTGCTTCTCCGCCTCTTGGAGATGTCACTTGTCATGTTGGATTTTGCTTTTATTTTATTGGATAAGGCTGTTTCTTACTCATATTTTTATCCCAGAGTCCAGCATCGCCTGTGGTGCTCAGCACATGTTTGCTGACTGAATGAATGAGTGCACGGACAGCTCCAAGTGACCCTGACTTTCCTGGTTGGGCGTTTTTTCTCTATGGCATGAGTCTCCATAGGGACTTAAAAGACTGCAGCCCCCTCATTGGTGGCTCTCAGGGCTGTTGCTTCACAGTAGTCACTTGACACGTGTCTTGGAGGTTTGCGGTGGGGCAGAATCTGTATCTGGTTCTTCAAGCTGCCTTCAGCACTCCCTCAGCCCTCCGCTGCCTCTGCCTTGCAGGGAAGCAGAATGAGGTCCCTGTGTTCCTTTCTCCAGGTGCTTCCCGAGGTGAGGCCATGCTCACATTCATGGCCTCTGACAGCGAGGAAGAAGTGTGTGACGAGCGGACCTCCCTGATGTCAGCTGAGAGTCCCTCACCACGTACCTGCCAGGAGGGCAGGCTGGGCCCGGAGGATGGAGAGAATACCACCCAGTGGGTAGGTCCTGCCTGCAGTTGGGAGCCTTGAAACAAGGCACTGGGATTCTTGTACCTTATGGAAAAACCCGATTTTTTTGGTGGGAGGGATTGGAAGGGAGAGAGAAGTAGAGGTGAGGTTTGGCCAAAGGTGTGGCCGGTGCATCCCCAGGGAATTCTGCTTCTGTGAGGACTTTAGAATTGGCTGCACGTTCACAGTCTCAGGTCGGCTCTGCAGTGGGCCCATGAAGGCTCTCCATCCCTCCCCTTAGATTTACTTTATGGTGCAGGTTCCTATTTCCAGAGTAAGTGAGAGTGAGGGTGGGTGCCGGGATGTTAGGACCGGTCACCTTTAGGATGGTAGGAGGAAAAGCTACTCAAGGGAACACTCACTGATGGATGGCCAGACACAGGAGCCTGTGAGACGCGCCTCCCTAACTGGAGGTTGGCTTTTGAGCTGGGCATGGGTGGGCCGCTCTGTGATCTTACTTCTGCAGCCTCCCATGCAGGGGAGCGTAACATTGCAGAGACAGACTTGGGAGGGTGCTCTCTCCCTCCCCATCAGGGCGAAACAACATTGGAATTCACCTAAATCCCATGCTCTGATTTGCCCATTATGGTATTTAAAAACCTGTTCATGCGGGCCTTTTTTTTCCAGCCAGCATTAATCCCCCTTGGTGAACTGCGAGCCCATGTCTCTGTGCATACAGAACCTCGTGTCCTCTGAGCTGAGCGGAATCTCACCAGCTCGGGGCCCCTTGGCGCCTTCTGCTCAGCCCTTCCTTGCTTGCTGGTCATTTTTTTTTTTTTTAATCTGGAGTTTTTGTACATTTTAGTTGTTTCATTTTCTGTTCTGTAACAGTTTTCTTTGTCTTTCCAAGCTGAATGTCTAGATTGGAACTCTCTCTGCAAGGAATTGATAACTGAAGCGGCAGTTATTTTTGATTTTCATTTCACGTGGCTCTTTCTTTGACAGTTAATCTAACTCTCAAGGCAGTGAATGGCCCGAAATTGCCACAGTTCCCAATCGGGAATTCTTGCAGACCCGTTAGTGCTACACCTGGCAGGCATCCTGGCCTCCTTGCTGCCTGCTTGCTGGTTCCCTCCCACCTCCCAGGGCCTGGATCTTCCCAGACGCCTGGTGCCTGATGCCAGTTTAGCCTCTTGAGTCAGAGCTGCAAATTTACATGCTTGATTTTGTGGGGCAAAAAGTTCAAAGTAATTTCTTTTTTTTTTTTTGAGTAGTTTTTGCTATAGGGCATGTGCACTTGCCAGAAAGACAGAGAAAGACAGACAGAAAGTGAGAAATCACCCCCAGAGGGGATGGCCACGCCGCAATCCCTTCTCCTCCATTCTTTTCTCGGGATCTTGGGCACGCACGCACATGTGCCTGGCATGAGGTTAGGCCACTGAGTCTGAGACTCGAACCATGGTCAACTACATGGGAGTTCAGGCACATAGCCACTATGCTAAATGCTGGAACCAGTTCAGAGTAATTTCTTTGCCTGCGTAAATTCTCAGTGTCTTGTTCACAAAGAGAGTCCCCATGTGCTAACTATTCTATAAAGTGATTTGTCAACCAAAAATGTTTAATCTCTGTTTTCCTTCTGTCACCTGGCCTGCCTTTTTCCAGGTCAGGATGGCCAGGTGGGCAGAACTGAATGGGCTCTCAAGTATCCCACATTCATCAGCCACTAAACCGTGAGCCTCAGACTGCCCTCCTGTGTGGCTGTGACAGTCCCCTTTCCTGAGTTAGTGGTAGTCAGCCCCACTCTAAATCTTCTCTACTGTCGTCCTCATGAATTTTGCCTTTGTCCCAAAAATTTCCACACTCCCACATCTAAGCTACTCATAGGCTGCTGCTTAGATCCCAAGAGCCACATTCACTCCTCATTTCTGGGTCCCAAAACCCATGCGTTGGATCAGCAGGCCTCCAGGGAGGGCATTCCAGGGCCCTCACAATGCTCTTTCCCACAGAGAAGCCAGGATGGCGAGGAAGATGGCGAGGAGGACCCTGACCGCTATGTCTGCAGCGGAGTCCCTGGGCGGCCACCAGGTCTGGAGGAAGAACTGACCCTCAAATATGGGGCAAAGCACGTGATCATGCTGTTTGTGCCTGTCACACTGTGCATGATCGTGGTGGTGGCCACCATCAAGTCTGTGCGTTTCTACACGGAGAAGAATGGACAGCTGTGAGTTGGGGGTCTGGGTGGCAATGGGTGGGGTGAGACAGGCAGGGGAGAGAGGCTGGAGTAGGACTGGCGACCTTCCTTGGCCGCTACACCTGCAGCTCCATGCTGGTGGCAGGGAAGAGCAGAGACAGAGGTGCCCAGCTGCACATCCTGCCTGGGCACATTCCTCACCTCTCTATGCCTTGGTTTTCTTGTCTATGTGATGGGTTTAATCATGGGGTGATCAGAAAATTGAGTTAGTGCATAGAAAAGGCTTATGAGTGCCCACTGCAGGCTCAGGCTCAGGCTCAGGCTCAGGCTCAGGCTCAGGCTCAGGCGTGGCGGCTCTGGCTGTAGAAGCACTCTGGGCTAAGTGGCACTCAGCTCTGTGTTCAACTGCCGGGCCTGGCTGCTGTTTGCTGTGTGACCACAAACAAGCCTCCTCCTCTCTGGGTCTCTGGTCCCTGGGATATAAAATGAGGGGTTGGGCTACATGGTCTCTTAGTGCATTTCCAGCCTTCTGAGGAAGATTTTAATGTACTGTATTTATTTTAGCAAGAATTCCACATGGCAGCAGAGGCAGCAGCCTGGAGAAGTGAGAGCCTCCCTCCACTCCCTGCTCCTCCCCGTGGTCATCCCTGCCGAGTACCTTGTCTAAACAGCTTGTTTGTTTCCTTTGGGACTTTTTGTTTAGTTTTGTGTTGGTTCGTGTTTTGCTTTGTTTTAAAGAAAGGGAAAGA